GCCTTCACTGACAAAAACCCTCTGTTTTCTTGTTTTAATTTTTGAAAATTATTCAACTGGATTCACTCTTTTTGCTTGAAAAGTTTTCTTCCATCTCCCATCTTCCAGCTTTTGAGCTTAGAAAAGCCTGTTGTCTGTCCAGTTGATACCCCAGTCTTACCTTTGCATGTAGTTTCAGAAATTTCTCTATAGCATGGCTTGTTGGAAAATTACATTTCTCAGTCCTTCTTGAAATATGTTGTATTTCCTAAGCCTGATGGCCTGTTGTATGAATTCTCAAAGGTCCTCAGGTATCATCTCTTTGGATACTGTCTCTCCTCTGCCTTCCATTGCTCTTTCCAACTCCTCCCCTGTAACACTAATTAAATAAATTTTAGCCTTCTTATGTTTTTTTCAATGTCTGCTTAGGTCTCTTTCACTTTTTTTTTTTTACTTTTCAATTAACTATATCTTATTAATTATGTACACTGCCAGATGGTTACTGAAGATCTATATCATTGACCCTTTTTTGCTATATCTAACCTGGGTTTTAGAGTTTCAAAATTATTATACTTGTTATTTCCAGTGTTTTCTGGTTTTTAAAACTATTTTACAGTAAAAAAGACACAGTAAAATTCCCTGAGACTACACTGATTTAAAACTGACCAAGACACTAACCATAAACCATATTCTATTGTAGGCATAGTGGCACATAAGTCAGGGTGCTACTTTCCAAGACTTAAAGAATCCAGGGATGATGGCCTTTCTCATATTTCCACATAACTTAGCACTTTTTCCCTGCCAAATTATAACAAGTAATATAACAAAACTTGCTGCATTGTAGCAGTTGATAATGGATTTACCCAATTACAATTGCTGTGTTTTTTACTAGACCAGATTTGCAAAGCCTGTAACATCCCACATGATCTCTACGCAGGCAAATGCATTCCTTCTAATACCTATGAGGAAGGATCCAAAACGGTTCTTATGTTAGTTTCTCCCCAGGGCAAGATGAGTTTCCTGCTTTTTTGCGACCATAGAGTTCAAAAGACCAAATCGCCTAGAAGTGTCACTTTGGCTTACTACATGGAAAACATTATCTTGACATAACGTAAAGAAAGATGGAATCCCTGGGCAGATACATCCAGTCCAAGCACCATTAGATAAACTTGACAAAGATTTGACATGTCCCCCTTCCGATAACCTTTTCAGAGTTTTGATGATCTGGGGATGTCAGTCAGTATATCTCCACTAACATAAAAGACAAGTTACAGCACAGTTTGAGATCATGCTGGGTTACTATATAATAAATATACCTTTATCTGGGTAATTTATAAACAACAAAAATGTACTGCAAAGCACAGTTCTGGAACCTGGGAATCACAAAATGTGAGCATGAGCACAAACTCTTCAGCAAGTGATTTCCATGGCAAATGGCACAGCTGATAAATCAAACAGCTAGACGGAGATAGATGAAGGATAAAGATACCTATAAAGAGGATGTAACTCTGAAAAAGTGAACAGAAAGTGTAAAATTTTTGTATAGTACATCCATGTGTATCAGTGAACATTCACAGCAGAGGAACACTCCGCAGTCAATTAAATAGCATGATTCAGCCCACAGATAACAACCAGCCTCTGCACTCAGTCACCCAGAACTGGGTTCATGAGTGGTGTGACTATGGTGCAGGATATCCAGATGAGTCCGGGGCCAATGGTGTGAATTCTTTCTCACAAACACAGGCAACTGTACTAGTCAGGGTTAAATCGCCTACCATAAAACCCACTGCTGACCACTCTCTTCCTGCTGTGACACCTTCTTTTGAAGAGATCGCCGAGTCATTTGTTAACAGCTTACTACACTGGATTCCTTCCATCAAGGAGAAGTTCATGGTTTGTCCTAACTGGAACCGACACATATCCCGGGTCTGGTTTACCTTTCCTACCACTGAGCCTCTGCTAGCTTCAGCATGGGAGGGCTCACAGAATTTCCGTTCTCCAACTATGAGATTCTGTGCAATATTACCTCGCACACAATGACACAACCCAGTGGCAGGGCAGCAGAGCAGAGGGACTCATCCTTGGAGCCATTGGTCCTTTCAGAGAAAGCACCATCTGGAAGCTGCTGGCCTCCTGGAGTTGAAATGTTGCAGAATCAGAACCAAACTGAACGGAAAATGCTCTGCACCATGGAGTTTGGAGGGCAATGCTCTTTATTAACGGGGGCTGATGGGAAGTCAATTTTAAATCATTATTCCCGAGTCAGAGCTAAGAAGATTTTTATGTACGGTTTTGCAAGTGGAATTACAAAAGCTGATAGCGAGTTACTCTATAATTGCTTACATATGTTTAGTCATCTATTGCTACACAGATTCACTCGGGGGTGGGTTTTAGTTACAGGAGGTCATTTATCATATAGTGGGGATGACAGGAGTGTTGGGCCAATTGAGTGGGTGTAATCAATCAATTGTGTCCTTGACGGGGCCATTCTGTCCCAGGCAGGAATTCTATCTCGGGCAGGAAGACCTTGAAGCTGGCTTAGCAAACAGGATGTTTTTCTGGCCTTGGTGCAGCTGCATATGGTCAGACGGAGCTGAGCCTAATCATCCCGGGTTTAACAGGCAAGCCTGATTGAGTCTGGGGTCCTATCTGTGAAGCTGCCAGCTTTAAAACATTTCTTTTTTTGCTCTCACAGAAACAGATGTTTGAAGGCTCAGCGGAAGAACCAGTGAAGAATGCAGAGGTTCTGTTGGGGTTGGGCAGGGAAGATGAGATTGGGCTCCTCACAGAACCGTGTATTTGCCTCATGCTCCTGTCCGGTGTTGTTTCTTTTATTTCCATCCAGATTTCTCTTAAGAACAGTCTTCCAATAAACTATGAACAAAGGTCTCCATGCTAGCCTTTGCTACCAGGGGACCTGCATTAGGACAACAAGGATTAGATAAATATTGGTTATGGCACGTGGTTGGAAGTGAGAAAGGAGAATACTTCAATGGAACAAAGATGCAGATTCACCAAAATAAGACCTTAGCATTTCACTTATAAGGTAGGGAAATATACATATTTTTTCATAAAATTATAACTATTTATAATTTATAATTATAACTATTTTTCATAAAATTATAATTATTTAGGTAATTAATTTAAAAATTAATGATAACAGACAAATTTAATGAAGGTTTAATCCTTGCAGAGCAAGGATCTACACACTTTCTACACATCTGTTCATAAATTTCTCATAACATAATTACCTTATGGACGCTACTTTAATCCGTTTTACATATTAAAGAATTTGAAGCAAAAAGAGGTGGGCAATCTCACTTAAGGCAACCTGATAATAAGAGGAACCAGAGTCCAGACCTAAGCAGTCTGGCCTGAACTCTCATACTTGTAATTTTCACCATTTAATTCAGACACATATATTGAGACCTAAGTACACGTCAGATGTAGCTGTAATTGTCCAAGCCCTGTGCACACAACAAGAAGAAATCCGTGCTTTCCAGGTCTTGAAGGTTACACTCTCGTGTACAACTGACAGAAAATGAACTAGACGTAGAAGCTATATTATATGTCAGGTAGAATCAAGGAAGGAGGAAGCTGAATTCAGTTCCACACAGCAAGGAGAGCAGATGCGAAGGCCTTGCTGCAGGGCAGATCCATCCCTTCCTTGCCACGAACTACATATTCTCTCCATGCACAAGTAACTTTGGATACACATCTGCAAGTGACATTAGTTGTCAATTTTGATCTTAGAGGAGGTTTTAGAGTAAAGTCTAGTTCTGAGAGCTAAGCCAGCCCATCACACAGAATCGCATTTTTCTCTACTTCTTACTTCTTTTTCGCCCTCCTTTCCAAAGCTGCTTGACTGGGTGATGAAGAGCGCAGCTCTATGAATTAACAGTGGCATTGTGAGTTGATTTCTTGACACCTATCCATGCAGGCCATGCTCCACTGGCTGTTTCGGTTGAACTCAAAACTGAAGGTCCACAGGAGATGGGGAGGGTATGGAAAACGCCCTGTCCTCTCAGCTTCTTTGACAGAAGCCACTTCATCCTTAGTAGTGAAAACCCTATTTAAATTCTAGTTTAAAAGTACTTGAACTTAATGGTCTTAAGGAGTTCATTATTTCACAGTTATACATAGCAGAGAACACATATAAGTGAAAATTAGGAAATTCATTTTGAACTTTCTGAGATCTTCCATAGGTGAACATGGACACTATTGCACTTTCATTATCAAGAAAATTGGAAGTACAGTAAATCTAAGGAGTTATACTATGCTAGAAACATTGTTTTCAACAAAGGCCCTTGATGTTTTACAATCAAAAAAATGCATTGTAGTGACCTTGTAATTGAAGAATTATACTCATGTAAAGTACAATGCTCTCTTATGCTTAACTAAAAATACTAAGTATTCATTTTTATTTAAAAACTACAAATTATATGAGTATAAAACACCTATGATGCAGTTTTCTAAAGTTGTTGGGTTGAGTTAGGATTCTCTGTGATGTTTGAAAATCAAACGTGGGTACATAAACTTGGAAAATTTCTTGTCCTTATAGATATAAACAAAGCAAAATTGATAAAAGGGAAACGACCTCATAAAATTTCAGAAATTGTAGATATTAAATATTACTGCAATCAAATCACTAACAATCTTTAAGGTGTTATAAATTAGCATTTGCGGGCACTTAAAAGAAATGGAGAAGAAAAATAAAGGTAAGTAAGTTAAATCAGAACACAAACATTATATGTGAGATCTGTAACTATTTCTTTCTACTTCAAAAGTTACTCATGATTGTCTTCAGAAAGAAATTCTTTGGCACTAAATCATCAAATAAGTTTTCCATGTAATGTAAAATAATTACGAGATCTAAGTCAGTTTTGTGAAGACTATGACACATGAAGAAAGTCTAATTCTTGATATGAAATTTCTATATAACTTAAACCAGATAAATTCTGATTCTTCATTTTATTAGAAGCAAGAAATATTGTTGCTGTATACTTAGTAGATAATAAGATAAATTATCAAAATATGATTTCCCTTAAAGTAATTTTTATAGATTGCACAACTATAAGTGTTATTCTAATATACACTAATTAAGAATCACTTCGGGTTCTAATCAACCTAATTTACTACATTTTATTACAATTCAATTTCCTTTTACTCTGATCAAATATCATGATTAAATGTTTTTCTTACAATTCTAATAAATATTCCTGTGAAAGATTAATACATAAAATAATAAGATATATAATCAGAAATTTGGTAATATTTCAGTCACGAAATCTCATTTTTGGAGGGTAGAAGAAATAGTTATGGAGAATTTCCATGATTCAAAAAGTTTTGGCTATTGAGAATTGAACACATTTATTTACCGTGTATTTATGAAGCCAACAAAAAATATGAAGGCATATTCATTTCTACATTTCTCAGGGAAGAAGATAAGAAGTCTGGGTATTTTAAGTCACTCTCAGATACAATTATTTTTCCTTAAATTAGTTTTAACAGAATGACAATAATGCTTGGTAAATGTGAAAATGAATCCTAAAACAAAAACATAAAATATTTGGTGAGGTTTCATCTTATCTTAGTCTGGTTTTACTTAGAAACTAAAGTATAAAATTATTTTCATCTGCTTAAGTTTTGACAAAAAGAACCACAAAACTGTGCACATTAAATAAATATATCCTAACAGTAAGAAATACATATGGATTTTGGCACTAAGGAATAGACAATGTGAGTTCCATATCACAGTTTCTCTTTGAGTTTTATGTGTTAAAACCTTTAAAATTGTTTTCTCCTTGGCACTGGTCAGTCCAGCTTCTCCTGGAGTCCACTGGGGGATAGTTCTTCCCCCAGAAAACTCGACTCTCACTTTGACCTCAACGTTTAAGTTCACTGCCCAAGTGGATTCCAGCACATCTTGGTATGTCTGATGTTTTTCATTTTTGAAGATTTCTGTAAACAAAGGAAAAAATCAGATGGACAGATTAGAATATGTATTAGAAACTACTAGGAAGGAAGCTGCCTGCTTTTAAATATTATTTACAAGACACTCACATGCATATATCCTTTAGGGAAATATGCAGAGGCAAAGTAAGAACACTCCGCCCAAATACAAATAAAGGAAGAGATGTAAATTCCTCAGATACAGGGTAGATATGTCTATGAAATAGGAGATAATACCTTAAATTTGTAAAGTGTTTTTTTTAGCTGACAAAAATGCTTCTCTTTGCATTTTAGTTCATCCTATAACAACTGTATTTTATGATAATATATGCTAGGAAAATAAGGCCATGGTAAAACTGTGACCCACCCAACATTTAAACAGCTAGTAAAGGATTGTAAAGGATCTGATCTAATAATACTGATTCTAGACCCATCATTCTTTGACTAGACCTGCAGGAAAGGACATACACCTAAGGAACTTCTAAGGACTACAGGAAAGGAAGTAGTTTAAACTGAAGGTAAAGCAACAGATCTCATGAATAATCTGGTCTTTCCTATTAAGCAGTTTTTTTCTTTTCACAATATCTATTGTATCTTTCAGTTTTATTTAATCATTCAGGTTCTTAAACTAGGGAGACAATATGATGTTTACACATGTGGGTCTGATTTATTTCGCTTGTACATATGGTCTCAAGTTGCATCCATTTACCTATCAAAGCCTTAAGCTTATCTTTATAGCTAATATTGCAATGTATAAAAATATTGCATTTTTCTTATCCACTCCTCAGTTGATAGGCATTGGGGTTGTTTCCAGAATTTTGCTATGACAAATTGTGCTTCTATGAACATGGGTGCAGAGATATCGCTGTGGTATGATGTTTTTAATTCTTCTGGTAAAATACCCAGAAGGGGAATGTCTGGGTTGAATCAGACATCTAATCCTAATTTTTTGAAGAATCTCCTGAGATTAGGGAAAGAAGAAAAGAAAGAAAGAAAAAATGGAAATAATCTGAGCAACTATTTTGAAGATAACAATAAGTAATACAACCACTGTAGATTTCCTATCATCTTGTTTTGAAATTCTGTATTTATAGTTTTTGTGTTGTGTTGTTTTGTTTTGTTTTTGTCTTTGTTTTTGTTATTTTGTTTTTGTTCCTTTCTCTTTAAAATAAGAAAAAGAATGATCTGGTCTACCTAAAGCTCCTAATTAGCATATTCATATGCCAGATATTAGCACAGCATGCTAACACACTCTCAACTAAAATATGTAGGAATTCTGTCCGTCTTGAGGTAATACACTTCACTTCTTTCAGTATGGCTTTACAAAGCATGAGAATGAGTGGTATAGAAAGCATACTAAGAACGCCTACAATTGTCAAGAGGTGTAGAAAGCCAAACACCTCTAGAGCTCTCTCATACTTCTACTGTAGTAGAGATCTGTTGAGTGCTAGTTTTCTGGATCAGGACAGAAGCCTTCTGGTCTTTGTTCCCAAACAGTCATTAGCCAGGGACAGATTCCTTTCCTTCTATTTTAGTCACTGTCCTATCACTAAACATAATGCCTGGCACCCACAATTGATAGGAGAGCTTTATTTTGCCTCATGGATTCAGTATATGGTTGGCTGGCTCCAAGGCAGAACCGGGGTAACAGAGAGGCCTGTTGGAGGAAAAACCAGTCAACTCACGGCAACCAAGGAAGCAGAGAGACAAGGGAGGAGATGGGATAAGAATCCACCTTTCCAGGTCTGACACCAGGGCCACCGCCAGCCTGACTCCTCCTCCCAACAGCACCCTTGCTGTGAACTTGTGAATGGAGGACTCCACTGATGACTACAGTGTCCACACCACCCAGTCACCCTCCAAATGCACAAGGCTTCTGGAGGACACATTGGACCTAAACTACAACACATTCCCTCTCCTTTCCATTCTTTCTTCTTGCTCCTGTTTCCTTCTTTCTTTTCTTCTTCATCTCTCCCAACTTCCATCCAGCCCTTATTCCTATTCTTTTCCTTCCTTTCTTTCCTTCCCACTTTAAATTCTTTTGCTTACATTACTAGCTGTCTAATCTAAGATTAGTTACCTGAACATCTGGACCTCCTTTCTTTACCTTTAAAAATAGGAATAGGGGAAGGAATGACAATGCCTATTGTGTAGGGTTGTTCCAATGGTGCCCTGAGTCAGTATATAGATTATGTAATACATAGACAGAGAGCCTACATCTTTCTGACCAACTGTTAGCAATGTTTATGGTGTGTGTGAAACACAGAGACAAAACATGCACCTTAATGATTCCTGAGGCCTCACAGTCTAATCGGAAAAGAAGACCAGTGATGTCAAAGTAGAAAGAAATACAGCAGTACCTCAGTTCAGCTTAATTTCCTTCAGGATTCTGGGGAAGGTGGCTGTGTTTATGTCTGCGTGGGGAAGACAGTCATGGTCATGTTTGTAATGTGATGCAGAGTCGGAGAACGGAAGCCAAATTTTGCCAACACTTCTGTTCTCAAAAAGAATTGTTAGTGAACAGAAGCATTCGTGAACTGAGTTATCACAGTAGATTTCTCCATACACCTGCCCCGATGGCCTGACTTTCCTTTTTGTGCATGTGAACGTCTCCTGTTGGTGCTAGCCAGTGGTAGGGCCGGAAGAAGCCAGTGGCCTGTTGGGGAAAACGGTCAGGGCCTCAAGTGCTCTTGTATTTCACGACCTCTGATCACAATCCACTGTCCCCAACTGTTTTACATTTTCAGATGTCTCTTCCACCACCAACAAGGATACGGCTGCCTATGGTAGAAAGTGTATTGTAGATAAAAGCGCAAGTGTTTTTTCAGGCAGCATGTTCAGATTGAATTGCCACTGTTATCACTTACTATCTGAGTCTTTACCTGTGGAAAAAAGGTAACAATATTTCTTCTTCATGGTGCTATTTTTCATGGTGGAGGAAGATAAGGAAGAACAGAATAGATATATTTTAGTACAAAAAATAAGAACCTCAAGACCTAGATCTGATTCCTGAGTCCACAACGCACTGGCCATGTGTCCTGAAGAATCTCTGGATTCCATTTCCTTATCAGTGATGGAGTTTTGATAATAATAACTGAATCACTGAGTTGAGAAAATATCAAATGAAATAATGGAGCTGAAAGGGCTTTGTAAAACATGAAGTGCTTCAGAAATATTACCTGCTATTACCATCTTATGTTCACATAAAATGATTATAAGCCTATAGCAGGAAACTTCAATCTGTCATGGTGACAGTTATTAGTCTCACTCTCCCTTGTCAATAAGTTGATTTAAGATAGTACATAGGCAAGTAGAAGAATGGGAAGTGAGGGAATTAGAATAATTATATTATCTCAGAATGAAATAATGGAATTTAAACTGCATTAATTTTAAGAGGAACTCTACAAATCACACTGCCTGAAATAGCCCTGTGCTATAAATAATATTCATGTTTTCCAGCAGACAGATAGACTGGACAAAGGAAAAGATTTCACATTCAGTAGAAACACTGTGCGTTATTACAGTCCTTTTCAAGAAAACTCAAAATGTGCAGGAACTGGTGGCAGTTATTCAGGTTTTAAAATCCAAATTGATTTAATCCCTTTTCTTTTGGGAGTATTCATTACTCATTTCTTTTGGAAATGTCATAAGTTTAATATGGACATAACATTTCTTATGTTGAAATGAATATTCCTTAACCCAATGGTTTAAGTGATAAATTAGCTAACAGATTTGAAGTCATATAGACTCTATTAATGGTGATCAAGGCAAACATTTCACCTGCAAAAGACCTGGCATAGAAGGGAGTTTGGTTTTATTTTTCTCTCTAGAAAACATAAGGTAAAGAAGAGTCCTTCAGGAGTCAGAATACACGTCTTTGTAAAAATAATCTGTTGGTTATTTGCATAATGAAGTTATAAGCCTGAAATCTGTTGTTCTAGTCATATAATGAAGATATAAGCCTAAAATCAAGTGAATAAATCCTTGAATGAGAAGATCGAGGTGGAAAGAAATCTCCATTTCCTCATAATTTAGAGAAGTCACATGTAAGCATATCTAAAACCGGCTTATATTCTTTCAAAAAGCCAACGTTTCCCAAAGCGTTAATTTAAGTCACAGCTATTCACACCTCACTTTTCCTGTGGGGAGGTTTGAGAGCCAGACTCCGAAATTTGCTCAGTCTGATGTAGAACAGTCAGCCCGCCCGCGCCTTCCACCTCCCTGAGGCAGTGGTTAGACGGTGGTGTCAGTCCGTTCTCTGCATCTCATGGAACTGCTTCCAAGCATTTTCACTTGGACACTCATCCGTGGTTGCGCGCATGTTCCAACCATCCACTCGCCTTCCCTTAGCACTCTCCTAATTAAACTGTTGCCTGAGACTGAACACGCAGAGGATAGGCGTTCATAGCTGCTTTCATCTCCTTCTCATTTGCTGTCGTTAGATGGATATGCATCATTTTTCAGTGATGAGTCTTGTATTTGTACTCCCGGCAACTGTTTTCCTAAACAAAGAAGGTCTGATAGTTGCCACCCATTATCTGCCAAGTACTGAATGGGAGTTGGGGTTCATTTCTTTATTCAAGCATCATCAATTAAAGCCTTATTATGCTCTCCTCGAACTTGAAAATAGAATCAGCTGGTTAGAAGTCCTGTTCTCATGGTGTCCCTATATATAGGGAGCTGACCCATGATCTAAACAGAGAGGGAAAGTGCAGTGTATATAATATGTTCGGTAGTCCAAAGGAGGCAGGCAGTGTAAAAGTAGTTTTATAATTTCAGATGAGGTAACTAGGGAAGGGGCTCAGATGAGCTAGCAGCTGAAGGGAGAGCTAAAGCAGACAATGCTGAAAGCCACAAGCCTCTAGGGGAGACTGTCCACCTAGAGAGAGCAGGCTGTGTGAGCCGCCTGGGTGCAGCGCCCCTGAATTTTTGTGGAACAGCTGGGAGTGAAAAAGAAGTGGAGAGGGGCTGGGGATTTAGCTCAGCGGCAAAAGCGCCTGCCTGGCAAG